AGTTAGCTTTTAATAAATCAAGGGCGGGTGCAGTGACTCACGCCTGTAATCCTAGCACTCTGGAAGGCCGAGGCGGGAGGATTGTTCGAGGTCAGGAGTTCAAAACCAGCCTGAGCAAGAGCGACACCCTGTCACTACTATAAATAGAAAGAAATTAATTGGCCAACTAATATATAGAGAAAAATTAGCCGGGCACGGTAGCACATGCCTGTAGTTCCAGCTACTCAGGAGGCTGAGGCAGCAGGATTGCTTGAGCCCAGGAGTTTGAGGTTGCTGTGAGCTAGGCTGACACCATGGCACTCACTCAAGCCTGGGCAACAAAGTGAGACTCTGTCTCAAAATAAATAAATAAATAATCAATTGAGTCACCTTGTGATGGCACATCTAAATTGCATTTTAATCTTGGAGTGCCAAAAGCATTTGTCAAATGTTAAATGAAGAAATGAATTCTGCATTTTTCAGTGCACAAATACTCTAAAAAAATGGAAGTGAGCTGGCCTCTTGGTCCCACTGAAAGACACTGCTGTCTCCTCCCCCACTTCTGTCTCTGTTTGAGTTGTAAACATGTTTTCATCCTTTCCTTGAGACCTTCAGATAGTTCCTCTTTTATTCACCTCTCACTGCCAGCCTGTTAGTGAATTCTTCATCTACAGAATAAATACCTGATCTTCTGCAGGGATTGGAGCAAGGGATTCACAAGGAGGGGAATCTGGGGTCTAACTATTCCCCAGATGTTATTTATGTTCAATTAATTATCTGTTTTCTGTCCTACCTCGCACCCCAGAGACTTTCAACCTTCAGTTCCTGAGCTTTGTGGGGGGGGGGGCTTATGAGCTCCAACTAATTTATTACTCATTGGAATCTCCTTCTACAAGAACTAGAGTTTCTCCACTCAGTTAATCCGCCCATCCATCCATCTCCTGTCTTCCGAAAAGGATGTGAGATCTCTCATGAGCAGTCTTCTCTTCCATTCTCTGTGGGTTTGTACTTTTTTAATTTCTTTACTATAATTTTAAGAGGGTTTCAAGAGAGAGCAGAAGAGACTGCACGGGCTCAATCTGCCATGTTTCCATGTGTTTTATGTAAACACTTTTTATATCAGCTGTGAAGAGGTAATATAGTGGAATGATTAAAAGCACATATTCTTGGCCGTGTGCGGTGGCTCACACCTGTAATCCTAGCACTCTGGGAGGCCGAGGCTGGCGGATCGCTCAAGGTCAGGAGTTCAAAACCAGCCTGAGCAAGAGTGAGACCCCCATCTCTACTATAAATAGAAAGAAATTAATTGGCCAACTAATATATAGAGAAAAAATTAGCACGGTGGCCGCATGCCTTTAGTCCCAGTTACTCGGGAGGCTGAGGCAGGAGGATTGCTTGAGCCCAGGACTTTGAGGTTGCTGTGAACTAGGCTGACGCCACGGCTCTCAAGCCCCGGTAACAGAGTGAGATTCTGTCTCAAAAAAAAAAAAAAAAAAGTACATATTCTACAACGGAGGAGGCTATGCATGTGTTGGGGTGGTGGATATATGGGAAGTCTCTGCACCTTCTGCTCACCTTTTGCTATGAACCTAAAACTGCTCTAAAAAATAAAGTCTACTGGGGGAAAGAAAGCACACTTTCTCGGGAGCCAGAGTTTTTGGGTTCAAATCCTTAGTTCTTCCACTTGTTAGCTGTGTAACCTCGGGCATACTTTCGGTGCTCATCTATAAAATGTGGATAATCGTGGTACCAAGATACCAAAGTTACATGTGTGTAGCATGGAGCTAGGCACTTAATAAATACTCAAAGAGTTTAAAAATATTATTTGAGAAAGGGTGTGAGTTTCATTACTTGAAAAGGACAAAATGGTGTTGATTAATTCTTAATAAAATGAAAGGAGAAATTTTCTGTGTTAATTTTGCCTTGAAGTTGACTGTATTTTCCTCAGGGCTTAGCAGTTTTGAATCTTACTTTTTCACCTTTTCCCTGCAGATGGCAGCATTTGTCACCAAAACTTGGTCCTCTCCCAGGGCTGACCCTAAGTGGAAGAGAAAAACTCTATTCTTTCATTGGCTCTAGTTTGCTCGATACCTATTTACTATGTGCCAAGATCCAGAAACAGTAATGGTCAAGTAAACACTGCTATCGCCCTCTCAGAATCTCCAGTTAGCAACGGCTCTAGAACTTCATTCCAAGAAGCTGAGGGACGCTCCCAAGAAAACCTTCCATGAGAATGGGCCAGTATGTTGCAGAAGTCCTTACGCAGAAACAGAACACCCTCTTGAGCAAAAATGATGCTGTAAAACATCACTCACCACCAATTATTTTCCAGGCCTACTTGTATTTAAAAATGGGTTTTCATAAGCTCCACCCTGTGAGAAAAGAGTTGGGATATGTGAAATTCAAACTTAAAGCTGTTGGAACTTTAAATTATTCTGAGCCTTGAGGAGAATATGGCTGTGTGGCCTGAGTCACGTAGAATGCAGTTGCTATTTCTACTTATTCCTATAAATGCTTAGAAGTGACCAAGCATTGTCAAAGATGAGACCGCCCCCACCCCCAACATTACTGCTCCTCACGGAATGTTAAAGGCATCTTTCTTGGAATGTGGCAAGCTGTGCTAGTCAAATTGCTGTAACATACACTGGTCTAGTATGGAAAATATTGCAACTTGGCTAAAACTGTTTCTGCCTATGTAAGTGAAACTTTAGCTTCCCCACTTTGGGACACTGACCCCATCCCTTTGAAAGTCTGTGCTTCCCTGGTGGCTATCCTCAAGCTGTGCAGTGGAATAAACTCTATACTTAAGTAGAGCCGGGGGGGGGGGGGGGGGCATGCCTGTAGTCCCAGTGACTTGGGAGGCTGAGGCAGGAGGATCGCTTGAGCCCAGGAGTTTGAGGTTGTTGTGAGCTACAGTGACACCACTACACTCTAGCCCGGACAACAGAGACTCTGTCTCTAAAAACTAAAACTAAAAATAAAATGTTGACTAGGACATTGAGATGTTCATTAATGTAGAAAGGGGGGGGTGAGTGGAAAGGAGGATTTAGGAAGTATAGGCCCAAGATAACAACTCCAAATGCCCCCCAATTTTTAAGACAAACATCTCCTTTTTAAGAAAAATTATCCAAATTTTGGAAATAAGACCAACAGAGGGCAGTGTAGTCCTTTTAATGTCATCTAGGACATTGTTTAACAAGTTCACCCAAAGATTATTTAATTCTCTAGCTGGGGTCAGCAAACTTTTTCTATTAATATAAAGTTCCAGGCCAGGCGCAGTGGCTCACACCTGTAATCCTAGCACTCTGGGAGGCTGAGACGGGAGGATCGCTTCAGGTCAGGAGTTTGAGACCACCCTAAACAAGAGTGAGACCACATCTCAGCTAAAAATGGAAAAAATTAGCCGGGCGTGGTGGCTCATGCCTGTAGTTCCAGCTACTTGGGAGGCTGAGGCAGGAGGATCACTTGAACCCAGGAGTTTGAGGTTGCTGTGAGCTAGGCTGACGCCACAGCACTCTAGCCTGGGCAACAGAGAGAGACTCTGTCTCAAAAAAAAAAAAAAATTAATATAAAGTTCCAGATAGTAAATACTTTAGGCCTTGCGGGATATTCGCTATCTGTAGACTACTCAACTCTGTCATCGTAGTATTCAGTCACTGTACAGCAAAAGCAGCATGTGGCTGTGTTCTAATAAAACGTCATTATAAACACAAGCAACAGGGCCAGATTTGGCATTTACAGGCCAGGGAATGTTCCTTTGTTTGCCTAGGTATTTATTGCCCAGATTTTTATCCAATAGAGTTGTGAATTATTTCTCTCCAGTACAATACAGAACCCTGTAGCTTATAGTTTTTGTTACCCTGTGGAAGATTAACTAGTTTTGCATCTTACTACATTTCCTACTTCCTCAAATACCTACTTCCTCAAAATGTTCTCTGACCCAGCTTTCCCATCTTACTGTTTCCTCTTTGACAAGTTGAATAAACTTTTGACATGTGTTCATTCCTTATGTGAATGAGTCATGTTTTAATTTTTGACATTCTTGTTTACTATGCTTTTGTTGTTCCCTAGTAATTCAGTAAAATCCATTAACTAAGGAAGATGCCTGTGTTGTGGAGAGTGGTAAAAAAAAGGAGGAACTTAGGAACTGCCTCCATTCTGGTACCAAACTCAAAGGAGAAGAGAGAAACCCTCTGTAATGGGGACAGAGATTTTGTGCCTTGGCAAGGAATAAAAAGAAAAACCTCATATAATTTCTCCCCAAATTCCCTTTCCCCTAACCTCAATAAGGCATAATTCTTTATATCTCAAAAAAGGGACTATAAAAAGAGTCATTCTGTCTCATTCAGTCTCACAGTTGAACTCTAGGATTTTACTTCTACAGTTTAGTCCCAAATCCCTGGCCTCCTCAAATCAATTTTTTTTTTTTTTTTTGAGACAGAGTCTCACTCTGTAGCCCAGGCTAGAGTGCCATGGCATCAGCCTAGCTCACAGCAACCTCATACTCCTAGGCTCAAGCAATCCTTCTGCCTCAGGCTTCCGAATAGCTGGGACTGCAGGCATGCAGCACCATGCCTGGCTAATATTTTTCTATATATTTTTAGTTGGCCAATTAATTTCTTTCTATTTTTAGTAGAGACGGGTCTTGCTCTTGCTCAGGCTGGTTTCGAACTCCTGACCTTGAGCCATCCTACCACCTTGGCCTCCCAGAGTGCTAGAATTATAGGTATGAACCACCACACCCCAAGGGCCCTCTAATCAACTTTTTAAAGCGAGCCCCAGGCCAGGCGTGGTGGCTCATGCCTGTAATCCTAGCACTTTAGGAGGCTGAGGTGCGAGGATTGCTGGAGGCCAGGAGTTCCAGGTTGCAGTGAGCTGTGATTGTGCCACTGAACTCCAGCCTGCAACAGAGCAAGACCCTGTCTCTAAAATAAAAAACAGTAATAGCGTTGGGGGTATAGTGTTGAGCATAGCTGCCTTCCAAAAAACAGTAATAATCATTTCCCTTTTACTTACTTTCCTTCAGTTTAGTCAGCCAGTCTTCCTTTATTTGTCTTTTACTCTTCCACTCTGTCCTGGTAGTACACCAGAAGGATATTTTAAAAAACAACTCAGGTCCTCCTTGATTTCTCAAGCAAACCTATTTCCCAGAGACAAAAGCATCCAGGCATAAGCCTCATTAACTGACTTCTTAGCTTATGGGTTTTCATTCACTTTCTCTAAAGAAGCGTATCTCCTATGTAATAAGCACCCTGTTCTTTCTATTTGTTTTCATTAATAAAAATACCCCCATTCTATGGGCAAAGTCAGCGTCTGAACTCCCCTATTCCAAAACCATGGTCAAAGCTTATGCAGTTAACAAATCAGAGTCAACTTGCAGGGCCCAAAGCTTTGCTGAAAGAGCTACTACAAGAAGCACAAATCTACCCATTAGAGCCGAAAGGCTTATAAGCTAAAGCAGTGCCCTCTTTAAGGCAAGCCTGCTTTGGGTCAGAAAGGCTTTTTCCCCAATAATCGAATCCCTGTCCCAGCTGCCTGCTGAGTTCAAAGCTGTGCTCACACTGGTTAGGTCAAGGCCTGCCCCAGAGGCCCTTGTACTCAGGCTCCTGCCAGCTAGAATCATGCTGAACAACTGAGCAGTCACAAACCGCCCAGGTCAAGAACACACTGGACTCATAATTACCTTGAAGCCTAGAGCCCTGACGGCATCAGAAATTCGATCTCCACGTGTTATTTTAGCACCCATAGGTCAGTTGTTACATCTGTCTCTTCAAGTTTTCTAAAGAGAAAATTTAAATTAACATGATGGGACCAGGCTTGGTGATTCATGCCTGTAGTCCTAACACTTTTGGAAGCCGAGGCAGGAGGGTTGCTTGAGGCCAAGATTTTGAGCTTGAGCAAAAGCAAGACTCTGTCTCTACAAAATATAGAAAAATTAGCCAAGCGTGGTGGCACACACCTGCAGTTCCAGCTGTTCAGGAGGCTGAGATAGGAGGATTGTCTGAGCCCAGGAGTTTGAGGTTGCAGTAAGCCATGATGATGCCACTGCACTCTAGCCCAGGCAACAGAGCAAGACCTGTCTCAAAAAAGCAAAACAAAACAACAACAACAAAAAAACCATGTTGGGGCTTTGTGGGGTGTTAATTAATTATACCTTTCTCAGCCTTTCCAAATTCCAAACCCACAGAGAAGTAGGTGCATGAATCAGGCAACTAGAACTCCAAAGAATCAGCTTTGATAAGGCTAATTAGAGAACATGGCTTAGTTACGTACACAATCTCCCTCTGGATTAAATTGATGTACCCGGTCACAGGCTGGGTGACTGCAAGCCTCTTCCACAGGGACAGGCTCCCCATGGTGGAGGAAGAAAACAAGTGTGCAAAGATCTTGCCAAGGCAAAAAAGAAAAAGGGATGAGACAACATGCTCAGCATCTGCCCCAAACCCAAACCCACCATTCAGACAAATCACTCATCTCACAGAGGTACAAAGAAAGAGGTCAGAAGTTTTTCCTTCCATAATTTCTCTACTGAAGAGTGGAAGTTCCCTGTCCTCTGTGTAACTAAGTGAAGGATAAGTTCCCTTCTAACAGTCGCCTTTGGTTTGGAGACTTGTTCTTCACTCAATAATTGTAGCCATAGTACTTGGATCACATGATGTGTTTGTCAGGATTCACTGCATTGCAAGCCAAAATCAAAATGGCTTAAGCAAACTAGGGAATTCATATGAGTTCAGAGACTGATCCTCCCTCAGTCAAAGCTGGATTCAGATATTTGATCCATTTAACCAGGCCTCTGCTTCTTAACATTTCTGCTTCTCTCTGTATTGGCTTCATTCTCAGGCTGGTTCCTCTCAAGTAGTAACAAAGATGGCCATCAGCAGTTCCAAGCTTGCATCCTACCAGCTTAGAAACCTTGGCGATCATTTCTCCTTCCTGATACATTCAGGAAAATCCCATAATTGAGTTTCATTGGCCTGGCTTGGGTCCTGTGCCTTCTCTCTGGACCAGTGACTGAGACCAAGAGAATACAATGCTGTGATTGGCCAGACCTGCCTCATGTGTCCACTCTTGGAGTCCTGGTCCAATTCCATCCATACTACAGCAACCTAGCACGTGTTGGATTATTCTTCCAAGGAAAATCAGAATACTATAATCAGGGGAATGGATTCTAGATGGGAAAAAGACGACCAACACACATGACACAAAGCAAGATGAGTTCAATGGAAAGAACAGCCTTTGGCTAGTTCCTTCGCAAAGACTTGACGAGGTGGGTACTAAGTGTCTCAGGGACACCTCTCCAGTTCAGCCCAGCTCTGCCTACCAGCTTCCTGTGGGATGAATGCACTACTCACCCCCTTTCCCCAGCTGTAGAATAAATTGCTTATTCTATGTAATCTCTCAGTTTCTTCCATTTAGCAGCATTCACCCATTCGATATTTATTTAGTACTTATTATATGCCAGGCACTGTTTTGGACACTTGAGGTAGTAGTCATGAATAAAACAGACAAAATTCCCTGCTCACATGGAACTTATCATTTAGTCAGGGAGGGGACAAACATTAAACAAAATAAATAAGTGGTCTGTGGTATGAAGAAAAATGCAAATGGGACTGTTGGGTGGTTTAAATAGATGGTCAGAGAAGATACTACAGGCAGAGCACATGGTAAGTTCCCAATCTATGGTATCTATTGATCTCACTCTCATTGCTATTATTATCATTATTATTACCTGGCATATCAAGGGAATTTGGTGACCCCTTGTTGTCTCCAACATTAAGTACCCTCAGCTTGGCATATAAGCCCCCTTGCTGTATGTAGGTCTTAAACTATTTTTTAATTGAGATAGAGATTACATACCATATTTGCCCCTTTAAAGAGTACAGTTCGATGGTTATTAGCATGTTTACAAGGTTGTGGAACCATCACTACTATTTAATTCCAGAACTTTCATCACCTCAAAAAGAAATCCCATACCTATGAACAGTCCCTCCCCATATTTGCCCCTCCCCCCAGCTCCTGGCAACCAGTAATCTACTTTCTGTCTCTAGGGATTTGCCTATTGTGGACATTTCATATAAATGGAACCATGCAATATGTGACTTTTTGTGGCTTCTTTAACTTAGCATATTGGTTTGTTTGTTTTGGAGACAGGGGTCTCACTATGTTGCCCAGGCTGTCCTCAAACTCCTGGGCTCAAGTGATCCTCCCGCCTCAGCCTGCGGAATAGCTGGGACTGCAGGTGAGAGCCACCACACCTAGCTCCTAGCCCCAGTTTTTATTATTCATCTTCCATATCCAAAGGCCAAGGTGCACTAGACTGCTTGCCCTCCTCCAATCACACTTTGCATTTGTTGAATTTCTATTTCCTCCTCTTGGAATGGTTATACCCCTTTCTTAGACCTCTGTCCATTCAAGCTTCTCACAAATGTCATGCCTTCGTGAAGGGCCCCTGAGTGTTCCCCAGTGCCCTGGGTCTTATTTTTCCCCCTTCCTAGATTCCTCTTTTATTTCAACTGCTGGTGCTTTTTTTTTCTTTAAATTTACTAAATTTTAACCTTCCTACTACACTGTGACTGTCATGAAGTCACCAACTGTTTTTTTATCCTTAGCCTGAAGCCATGAACATAACAAGCACTCAACAAATATTTGCTCACTTGCATTGCATTGCAAGTACCCAGGGCTTCTAAATCAGGGGCGATTTTGCCCCCCAGAGGACATTTGGCAATATCTGGAGACATTTTTGGTTGTCCCCACCAGAAGTAGGAGGGGAGGTGTTACTGGTATCTAGTGTGTAGAGGCCAGGGGTGCTGCTAAGCCCCTTCCAATGCACAGAACAGCCCCCACAACAAAGAATTACCCTGCCCAGGCCAGGCGAGGTGGCTCACACCTGTAATCGCAGCACTTTGGGAGGCACAAGCAGGAGGATCACTTAAGCCCAGAAGTTTGAGACCAGCCTGAGCAACACAGTGAGACCTCACCATCTCTACAAAAAAAAAAAAAAAAAAAGGGTGTTGTGGCATGTGCATATAATCCCAGCTACTCGGGAGACTGGGACAGAGGATCAATTGAGCCCAGGAGTTTGAGGTTGCAGTGACCTATGATTGTGCCGCTGCACTCTAGCCTGGGCAAGAGAGCCAGACTCTGTATAAAAAAAAAAAAAAAAAAAAAAAGAATTACCCTGCCCCAAATGTCAATAGTACCAAGGTCGAGAAACCATAAACTGCCATAAACTAATCAGTGCTCCTTTTGACTAGGTTAGCAAAAGAAGCCCAAAGGGATCAGTGTACAGAAAAATCTCACTAGGAAATTCATGCATTTTGTTTGTTTGTTTGCTTTTTTAGGAGCTGGGGGTGACTCCAGTGCAAAGCTCTTTCCTAATGCCATAGAGGTGCCCTGGCAGCACAGATGGTATTTTCACCACTTGTTCGCCTCTGCGGCAACTGACCTCCCAGGAATCCTTGAAGTGCTAGGAATGTAACTCTATTAAGGAAGAAAACTCAGGGCTTTTTAAGTCTAGCAAAATGTCAAAATGAATTGTACTCCTCAGGGATGGAAAGGGAGGTGTTTTTCAAAGTACCCTCTCCTGGTTTCCCTCACGAAGGTGAAACTTCATAGCTGGCCCTAGAATAAATGATTCAAGGGAACCTGAGGCCCTGCCTCCTCTTCTTTTAAAAAGTGCAAAGGAGCTTTAAAAAAGGATTCTGTTCGCAACTTGCATTTGTGAGCAACTCATTTGCCAGAAACTGAAGGCACTCATATCGCTTAACTGTGAAAGCAGCAGCCCCATCAGAGCAGTGGTTACTGGCCTTAGAGTCACATCTTATGTTCCTACTCATCTCATCTAACCGGTTCTTGTGACTGACACGGAAATTGGATAATATATGCCCTCAAAATGAGAGGTAGGAACAGTCAGAAGGAGTTTGATGAGGCAAGGAATAGGGGTTGACACACTATTTTAAAAAGTTTGTCCTTGGGGTAGAATTACCTGACAGGCTGGCTGGGATTTGGTAGTGGTGCGTACGCCCCAAAGAACAACCTTTAGCACGGCTGGCAAAGACATAAATGCCAAGCAGAGGATTCCGAGAGGCGCCACCCCTCTTCTGGGCACTCTCCAGTTCTTGTGCCATAAAAAAATAGCAAGGTGTGACTGCATTATTAGACTTGCTATACTTTTTATCCAGTAAATGAATATTTTTTGGGGGGGGGTCTGTATGTTTGACAAAATGCTCCTCACTATGTGAAGTAATTTATTCAATCTAATTTTGATGAAAACCTTTGAGGACAGAAACATATAGAGAGTACTTGGCACACTGTGAATGGCAAAACTGTTTAACGATGACAGTAATTAGGATAACAGAATAATGTGCGTTGAGTGGATGGTTGGCAGGATTTCAGGCATATTAAGAACGTATAAAAAAGAATCATTTAAGAACAAGATGGGAATCCCCAAAGTAACTACGGTCCTGTCAAAAGTGAACTGGAAAAGAACCAATGTTTCTGAGTAATATATATTTATGTTTTGATAAAAACTAAAAATTATTTCAAATTGGATTACTTGCCTCAAAGGTCAATTTTCTTTTGTTTGTGAACCCCATTCATTCAATCATTCCTTTATTCCACAAACATTACTTTCTTTTATTATTTATGGTTCCTATTCTATTATTTCTTTTTTTATCTAACAGTATTTACACACTCTCCTGTGTGTGCCCGACATTGCATTAGATTCTAATAATTCAATGGCAGATAATTCTTACCCTTGGGGAACTTAGAATCTAGTATAATATTCATTCATTCTTTTATTCATTCATATATTTACTATGTGCCCACATGTTGTGGGGATACAGGAACAAAAAACACAGGGCCCTCAGACCATGGAATTAAATTCTAATGGGTAGAAAGAAGAGCAAGGGCAAAGCTCTTGAGGCAGCTGTGAGCATGGCTAGAGCAAAAGGGACAAGGCACCATCATTGTCCCCTCCCACTCTGATAGGGATATATTACATTTCCTTAATTTTTCCTAAAAGACTATGCAAAAAGTCTCTTCTTTCCAAACAGATTGCCATCCTAAAAACCCTTCCAGTACATTAATTGTGGATATGCCACTAGATTTCTGTGTACTTGTTTCTCAATATGTGACCCTGACCCTGGTTTCTTTCAGGTTTTTGTTTAAAGGGATGGCGGCGTTCTTATACTTTTAAAAAATCTTTAAAATATATGGTTAAAACAGGGAAGAAAAATCTTCAAGCAGCCCACCTGTAATTCTCATTAAGTTAATCTAAGTCCTTCATGTGGGGGAATCATCAGGTCCTAGAGCCTAAGCAAAGTCAAAAGAGACTACAACTCTAGGACTACAACTCCCCGAAGACACTGCGGCCACACCCTCTGCGCACGCTCGACCTCGGTGACTACATAGGGCAGCAAGCCCGACGGGCGGGGCTTGGGCCAGGACCGCGAATCGGGGGCGGGGCTGGAGGCGTGGCCAGGGGGGGCGGCCCTGTCGGCGCGGCCCGGAACACGCTAGTGGAGCGGAAGATGGCGGCGGCAGCAGCGGCTGCAGCCGGGACCCCAGTTGGGCTGAGGCGGAGGAGCCGCCGGCTCTGACCTCGCTCTGGCTCCGGTGCGCGCGGCTGAGCGTGTGCGAGGCCCCGCGCGTCGGGCAGGGGCGGCGGCGGCCACTGCGCGCCGCCCTGAGGAGCGCCCCGGCGGCAGCGCGGCTGCGGCTGAGGAGAGAACCGGCTCCGGGCCTCCGCGTCCTCCTGCTCCCCCGACCCCCCGCCTCCTCGGGGGGGCGGCGGCGGCGATGTTCTCGGTCCTCTCGTACGGGCGGCTGGTGGCCCGCGCCGTGCTCGGCGGCCTCTCGCAGACCGACCCCAGAGCCGGCGGCGGCGGCGGCGGCGGCGGCGGCGACTACGGGCTGGTGACGGCCGGCTGCGGCTTCGGCAAGGACTTCCGTAAGGGCCTCCTCAAGAAGGGCGCGTGCTACGGGGACGACGCGTGCTTCGTGGCCCGGCACCGCTCTGCCGATGTGCTGGGTAAGTCCCCGGCCCGGGTACCCCCGCCCCAGCCCCAGATCCGCCTCCTGGGGACTCCCCTGCGCGGGGCTTCCCCAGTTCCTCCGGGCGGCGAGCGGAGCCAGAGCGCTCACATGTAGGGAGCGCTTACTATGCGCCAGGCGCGGTGCCAAGCGCTCTGAGGCGCGTTTTCCTCTGGAGCAACCCCCATTTTAGAGATGAGGAAACTGAGGCGCAGAGCGGTCTAGCCATGTGCTCAAGGTCACAGTCTGAGAATGTGACCTGTCTGTCCGAATACAGTGCCACATTCTTAGTCACTTAGCTTTGCCGGCCCCGGGCGACCTCTCCTCCCTCGGTGACACCTGCAGGTTCTTAACCTCGCTGTGGTTCTCTCCCTCTTCGCTCTGCGTGCCCTAGGGATCCCTGCTTCTTCGCTTGCTCCTGACGCCACAGCCCGGTCACAGGCTGCTGGATCCTGAGCATACACTGTTGTGAGCCCCCAGATAGTCCAGTAGTATTCTTTCGCTGCCTGGATCGTGACCAAATCTTCATTCTTTTCGGAGTCTCACAGTGGGGGGCTGTGGGCTTGGTGGAAAAACTCTCACAGTGCATTCTCCCAAACTGATTTTGCCCACTTGCGGTCACTTGGGGGGTGACAGAGTCGGTCAGTCTCCTTGACCCAAAATAGAATGGCTGAACCTGCTTGTAGACTGCAGCCAAGAAAGCTTTGAGAATTGGTCAAAGCCTTTTCAGGCCACATGTGCTTCCTAAGGCCTATTCCACTTACACCTTTGGGGGTGGGAGACTAAGGACAGAGCTTGCGGAAAAGGCTAGGTATAATTCACATGCAATTAGAAACTTTACCATAACATACATCTTTGGAGAGACTCTGTGTATACCATAGAATACTATGCTATTACAATTTTTTGGATAAATAAAGGTCTTCCTTTGACATTGAAGGACATGTTGTCATTGAATTTGGGTTCAAATGTCACTTTGATTTCACTTCTCAAGTGAGACTGAGTTTTTAGTTACTTTAAATTTCATGTGTCCAGCGGAAGTTTGGCAATAGAACAGATGGTTCTGTAACTTTTTTATGACAGTAATTATTACTATTATTATTTTTTAAGAGAGGATCTTGCTCTGTTGCCCAGGCTAGAGTGCAATGGCATCATCATAGCTCCCTGCAACCTCCAACTCCTGGGCTCAAGCAATCCCCCTGCTTCAGTCTCCCAAGTAGTTGAGACACCCAGCTAATATTTCTGTTTTTTGTAGAGGTGGGATATCTCTCTTGCTCAGGCTGGTCCCGAACTCCTGGCCTCAAGCAGTACGCCAGCCTCGGCCTCCTGAAGTGCTAGGATTACAGGTGTGAGCCACCATGACCAACCTATAATTATTTTTTTAATCTGATCTCAAAATAATTGCCCAGTATCTTTGGTTCTACCATATGTAGTGTTTGTGAACATGGGACTGGAAAGGTTGTGAATGACCACATTACCTGGGTTGACAAAAGTCATTTATTGTTTAGGCAACGCTATTGATATTAACTTTGGAGAGAGAGAGAGAGGTCTGGGAGCTTGCAGATTGAAATTGTACAGATCCACTCTGAAGTTAGTGTGACTGACTCTTTTTTAAAGGGCTGTCAGTAGCTATCTTTTCCCAATGCATTTAGAAGTGCCTCACTCAGTGAGCTTCTGACCTGTGCTGCTTTTTTTAAAGCTGCATTCATAATTCAACAGGATAGGGGATAATGACCCTCTAAGGTTCATCTTATAAATCTGCTATGCACTGGCTTTTGTGAAAGATCTGTGATTTGATTGATGATTTGAGGTTGTTTAAATGTATCAAATCCCTATACTGAAGCTTGATTTTTA